CGCGCGAGGCGCCACGGTGACGCAAGCTCGGGGCGATGCTCAGAGGCGCTCCGCGCAGATGTATTCTTCAGGTCTAAGACCTAAGCCATCTCCTTGGCTCCCCCAATGAGAGCAATTCAATTTCAATAGCGGCGGCTCTCATCCGGGCTCGGGTTGGAAGTTTGGCCAGGGGAACTAGAGCTCATGTTGGATGCTTGCGCGAATGCCATGTCCCCAACCTAATGATCACGAGAATAGCATTGAAGAACATGCTCTGCAATGCAAGCGCCTCAAAAGATCAAAGAGATTTTGCAATGGCAGAGCCATGTCTGCCCAGGCACCCTCAGCCAGAGATGAATTCTTCAAGAAGCTGCAGAAGGCCTGGGATTTCGAAGCAGTCACCCTTTTGTCGAGCTTGGCCCCACGATGTTTACTTTCAAGCCATTCCTCTTTGCACTCCAACTCCAAGAACCAGACGCCTGCACGCAAGTGCAGTGTGCATGGGCTCGCGATTGTAGACTGCCAGCTTTCCATCCTCCCTGCACAAGACACCGACAGGCGGAGAGCAATATAATGCTAAATCCTGTCAGGATGCGTTCTGTAGTTTTTACAACTGAAGTGTGTCATAGTAAGTGTGTATGTATGTGCATGCAGGTGCATGCGCATGCATGTCCCACAAAGCAGACGCACTCTGACGTGCCAGATACTTTCTGCAAAAGCTGCACGCAGAAAATCCAGTGTCGCCCTTGGAGAGCAGTTTGGGTGGTCGCCACGATGTTGCTCGCTTTGGGAATCTGCAGCGTATCAATGCACAGCCCAAAATACTCTTGCATACCCGCCGGTGTGCACATACTATCACAGCTGCTATCACAGCTACGGAAGTCGTTCGTACGCGACTTACACCGTTGCTCTTGCGGATGTTGCGCTGGTTTCATGATGAGAAACCCCTAGGGTCGGTTTTGACGGCGGCGCCCCTTTCGTGAGGAGGTTTCCCCAAACTTCAGGGCTTCCTTTTTGCTTCCTCGAGGGTCTGCAGAGGTGGGAAGTGATACTTCAGATTCATTAGACATCGCCTCTGTTCAAATTTTGAGGCGCTGTTGCAACCTAAGAGAGGATGCAACATGAATTGGATCAGGCCCCCGCCCACCAATAGTTGTATACACTGAGGAGGCATGATTACTACTATCTCTTGTGGTCACTATTGCTAAGTGCCCCAACCTAAAACATTGAGCCCCTTGTGAAGCCCCCAAAAGTCAGCAATCCCGATGATGAGGGTTACAAGAAGGGAGCCTGATTTTTGGAAACGATTATTGGAAACCACCATTTCAGATATCCGTTGAACCCTAAGCCCCAAACCCTAAATAGCATGGAGGTTTCCAATTTTCTTTTCCATTCCCCAAAAATCACCGTTAAGTCTCAGAATCCTGCTTGGAAACCCAGGCCGCGCGTGCAAGGTTTTCTTTGTCGCGCCGGTTGCAGGACGGGACCTCAGAACTCAGGCCAGTAGTTAAGTTCAGATCCCTGGGACCCTGGATGTGTTATTTCACCACAGCAGAGAGAAACACTGAAGGAAACGCCAAAAACACATGTGCATGGATATGTTTCTATAGCCTTTGCTATGATTGAACAACTGGTTGTCATCGTATTGCTAGCAGTAGAAGCAGCAGGAGGAGGAGGAGGAGCAGCAGCAGTAGTACTAGTCCTGGTTGTAGTCCAAAGGTAGATAGCTGACGCAAGGGTTTTCTGCATGTGAAGGCCTACAGCTGCGGTCCCTTCTAGAACCTTGAAGAAGATACTGTAGTGTTGCAGTGGGGGGTGGGGGGAACTACTTTTACGGCAGACGTTTCGCCTCAAGCTGGCGTCCATGCCATCGGGCGTGATGGAGGGTTGTGCTGCCTGTGTAAATGTTTGACACTGGCTGCTCAGAATCGTAGCATTAACTGGAAAACCCACATTTCTTTAGTCCCTGGGTAAATAGTGAATAGATTCTGAAATAAAGAGACCTGTCAAAACCTGCACGAATGGGGCAAACCTTGCACTAATGAGGCGACTAAACATTTAAAGCAGAGCTTCTGACGCCCTTGGATTTAAAGGGAGTCCGCGGGATTAATGGGGTGGCTAACGATTTGAAGCAGAACTCCACACGCTCTTAGACTAATACGGCGGACCTTGGACTAAAGGGGAAAACCTTGGACTAACGTGACTCATTCAAATTCAGATCAGAACTCCAGAAACCTTCCTTCAAAGAAACAGACACCAACATCCCAAGCTCTCTACTGTAGTTTTGTAAATTAGGCAAAACCACTGTACAGCGACATGCAATCGTCTCCTTGAACTCTTCTAAGCTTCTTTAACAGCAATGTTATAATTTTTGTACATCCAGTGGAGCCATTGTAAAACGTGCATGAAGTGAACAAAAGCGTGGCATCACTTGTGGCTGGTGATCCTCGTCGTCGTCTTTGTGGCGGCGGCGTTTCTGGTGGTACCAGTGTTACTTGTGGCTTTGCTAGTGGTACATGTGGTAGTGGTGGTGGGTGATGGTCTGGAGCGAGACCTAGCGCGCGTGGCAAGGAGGAAATCATTGGAGCATTCAGGATACTAGCGCCCGGAGTTGCAATAAGAGTGCTCCTCCCAGGTGAGAATGGAACCTTGGTTTTGCCAAACTTCAGCTGGACCCTCAGGCGTTACATCGCTAGAAGCCTTGAATAGGTACAGCTCAAGGGTTCTTTCAAAACAGGCTGCTTCATGCCAACTTGCAGTGGGTTTGAACTTGCATCGCCATTGAAGTGAATGATCCTGATTTCTCAAGCATGAAGGGCTTCAGCTCCAGAACTTTGCCGGCTTCCAGCCAATCTGTTCCGGTCTACGTCTTGCTGAGAAGGCAGCTTTTGGAAAGTGCCCCACATTTTGGGGGGTATTGATATTATATTGTCTGGGCAGGGCGGGTCGAGCGTCAGCAGATCCCTTCCGACTGCAGCAATGACACCCTACGCTATCAGCAAGAAGCTCTCTTCGGGAACCCACCCCGAGCGGAAGACTTGTCAGGAAGTCATGTCAGATCCATACTGAGAATGTGTGATACAAGGGAACAAGCGGTAAAGTAAAGATTGCGCAAAGACAACAAGCGTGGGCCATGTCCATCACAAAGCTTTCTAAGGCCCGAGCGGCATTTTTGAGCCCACGGATGCTGAGCAAATGCACGAGTTGCGGGACTCCAGCCAAAGAAGTCCAGGCCCGGGCGTGTCCTATTTTGAAGAGGGAGACTGTAGTCTCAAGTGCACAGTGGGATGTCAGATGGGGCTTGTTGTGGACATGGAGGGATCCGTGTGAAGTAGGCCCTACGATGCCGCAATGTTGGATCATCCACACTCACAGTCTGACTGATTGATTTGTCTTGTCTGAAAGCTATTGTCTCCAGACCAATGTCCTAGATTATGCAACAACGTGGGAAATTGTTCACCCCATTGCTTGATGTTCTCCCTGACTAAATTGCGCAGGCCCCGACAGCCTTCAAATGCTCAAGGAGCTGGTTGCAGAGATCAAGAAGGTGGAAGCTGCAAGCAAAAGACTCAGGCATTTCCTGGAGCTTTCTGGTGGGAAGTCAACATGTGGAAGCTAAAAGAACTAATGCACATACACTATTATGTAGTTGGGAGTGGTTTAAAGCAGGGCCAGAAGGCATGCGATAGAAGCCTGATTCATTAGCAACATCATTCCCATTAACCATGTCAACCCACAGTATCACATCATGCATTCCGAAGCCCTATCCAGTTGTGTTTGGCCGTACACGTCAATGTTGTGCTTCTCGGTGCTTGGGCAATTGCCCCCAGCAGCGGCAGCAGTCGCTGTTGCTCAAGCTGACTAGAAAAATCTGCCAAAATACACGAAATTACCTAGCATGAACCTGAAAGCCTTAAACCACGCCCTAGTCGGACGTAGCAGACCATTGCCAATTGCTGAGGTGAGTCTGCATCGATCTACACAAGCGACGCCGCGATGCAGGCCCATGCAGGCTCCTGGTTTCTCATGCCTTGTTTCAAGCCTTGCTTTGGGTTCACATGTCTCAGTCGTTCAGCTTGTAAGGTGATGCTCACGCGCCTGTGCAGGTCAAACTGGTCTCGCAGGTGGTTTCCACCGAGAGTCTGAGCCGCGCCTGACGGGCTACGGCTACCACAGCTAAGTGAACTTTGACTCGCGCAGCTGGTTGCACGCGTCAAGGTATACATCCTGGGCCTGCGCCCTTTGCATGAGTCCGGGATGTATTGTGAACGCTCTCAAGGTACAGGCCAGCAAGGCACATTCCTTGCCTGAGGAAGGTCCTAAGAGCCTTAGCACCCTCAACAATTAATCTTGCTGCGGGTTGTTCATGCAGTTAATGCATGTTGCTGCAGAGGACTCCAACCCGGAAGTGCCGTGAAATTGGCCATGGGCAACCCGCTTTTGACCTTGATTGTATCTCTCTTGTCAAGATCTTCGGACTGGCTTCGTACAGATATGAGCGGCTGCAATTTCAAGAGAAAACCGCACAAGATCCAAGCTTGACTGCTCATGCAAAGACTGCTTCCCTACATCAAAGAGACTCTTTCCATCCCGATATGAATCCCTTGCTTACTCAACCTTGAGGCACCAGAGCAGCACGGCTGCCAGCAGGGCAACAGTTGTAGATGGATGGAAACCAGATGGTTGTGAGTACGGAATGAACGGATGGAAAAGAAAATGGGAACTACTGAATTGTTGGGTGGTATAGAGCGGCTAACAACGGGATCCATGCCTCTGTTCCCTACTAACAGAGAGTAAGTAAGTAAGTAAGTAAGCAAGTAAGAAAGTAAGTAAGTAAGTGTAAGAGACATGCCCTTGCCTCTTCCGAGTGGGGAATGTCCCAATACATGCCCTTAACAGCTCCCATAGCATCCTCAAAAGACTTGATCCTGAAATGGCCCCAGGACCCCATACCCTCTTGCCTTACATGAGACAACAACCAGACTAGTGCAGAAACTACACATTTGCGCACCCCAACGCAGGCTGAAGTTGAGAAGAGGAGATGTCTTGATTGCTGGGACTGACGGCCTCTTCGACAACATTGGGGACCGTCCGAAGCTTCAAGTCCGTTTGCTTTGATGACAGCTTGTGGCTTCATCCATCCTTCCGACGTTGGCAAGTTGATGGGGTTTGGTGCCTTGATGCTTTCTGAGCTGCAGGACTTGGAGATCAAGTCTTTGGCGTTGGCGCACCACGAACGTCCGCCCTCGCAGGATCTAGCAGAGTTTTGTTTGGTGCGAACTGAGTGTCGCAGCATCCTGCTGCAAGAGCACAGTGCCCAAATGATCCTGCTTGGTGTCTGCAAAGAGTGTTCATCCCAGTTTGGCTCCGGCGAATCTAGACAACCATGGGGCCGCCTAGTGCACTGTAGCCTTTAAGGGCGCACAGCGGGCGGCGTCAACTCGACGCAAGAGCTGGCAACTGTGCAGCTGCCCCAGAAAATCTTGCGGCATATTAAAGTCTCTTAGACCTGGCTGCATGTAATCCTCCAGCTGGACCCCCATCGTTTCCTCCTCCTCCCATAAACCATCGCAAGGATGCTCCAGCATCCCCCCCTCTTCAGGAGCCTTCAGAGCAGCATTGCTAAGATTAGGGGTGCCCCCTATACACCCTAACGATATTGCCATCCATTTCCTGGCGCCCCAAATCAGGGAAGCCAAATTTTGGCAACCCTAGACCCTAAGCCGTTTGATGGCATCCTCCTTCACAGCGAGGCTCCTTGAGCGTGCAGCAGAAGTTGCCGTCCCCCCAGTCCTGGAAAGACTCGAAGTAGCGAGCTCCACACGGCGATTATATAGGATATTACTCCAATAATGCAGAATCAGATGGAAAAGAACATGGAAAATTGGATGGAAACTAGGTTCGCTTATTGGATTTGCATGAGTGTATGTATGGAGTAAACACGGCTATACACGGTTACCCGCAATAGTGTTGATCTGCGAGCGCATATTTATGTACGGATCATTACGGATCCTTTGCGACATGATTCATGCTGCGTACTCATCATACCTTACAGGCACAATGCTTTTGAGGTGCTCAACTTTGAGCTTCTGAAAATGATGGATCCCCTTCTGCGATCCCTTTCATTGACTATTGTTTGGGGTGACGGGGCGGGGGGAGGGGTGGATTGCTTCGCATGGAGACCTTGATTTTGTCTCACATTTTCACACAATACATACATGAACTCTGGTATCATAAACGGCCTGTGAAATTCTTGACAATGCCCTTTTCTTATTGCGGACTTGCATCTTCAGAAGTGTTCAAGTTAGTGTGGACTTGTTCAAGGCCCGCGCGCCTATGGAGTTCGGCCCTGGCGGCAAGCTGCAAACTCAGCGCTTCAGCTTTTACGACTCAGAGCTAGTTCGTTGGGATCATGTCGGACTATACCCAGAACGGGCCTGCACTGGTGCACCGAGAGGTTCAAAAGGGTGATAGGGGGCCCTTTCCATGATTATGTAGATGTTATTCGAGAGACCCTTATGCAGAGAATACGCGCGGAACTTTCTGACTCTTTCTATGGCCTGCAGGTCAAATAATCTTGTACAGTCCCTTTCAAGTACTGAGATATACATGTACCCTGAGCCCAGAACCCTATTTCTATGTATGAATATACCCTTACCCTACACCTTCTATATTACCACTAGTGCATCGTAATATGATTACAGAGAGGCCTAGAGGCCTGTAAGAAGTGGATGCCGAGGCTGGACGATATAGCTGTGGTACTAGCTGAGGCCAGGCCTGGGCTACAGCAAGCACAAGTAGCGTTTGGGGTTGAGGGTTTTGGGGGCTTTGGGTTTTTTGAAGTTTAGGGTTTTGGGACAAGTAGGTTTTTGGATTTAGTTTTGGAGTAATTATAGGGTTTTTGGGTGGTTTAGGGTTTTGGGGCGTTGAGGTTTTGGGGATACTGAGGGTTGTACCGGTCTGGATTTTACGCCGGTAATGGAAGATCAAATGGACAAGAAATGGAAAATGCCCCCTCCCCCCTGGTCATGGAAATTCCCGTGTACTGTAGCGTTCTGAAACAGAAATGGAAACTAGTATGTTCTTTAGGAGAGGCGCAGGGTTCAGCTTAGAGTTCAAAGGTTATCAGCACAGGGGATTTTCAAAAAATTGGGTTCCCTTTTTGGCAGTCCGTATTGGGAGGATCGCTGCCCCATTTTCGCAGGGGCAGGTTTATGGATTCACCTGCATTAGGCTTTAAGTTTAAGGGTTCAGGGTTTAGGCATCGACGGTTCAGTTTTCTGGGGCATAGTAAAGAATTAGGGCTCATTGTTACTCGTAGGGGTTCGGAGTTTTGGGATTCCTGGCTTAAGAGATTTGGTGAATAGAGTGCCCTCTATGGATTTTGGCAGTGCATGCTCTGGGGACCACGAATCAATCATGATCAGACGGTTATGCCATAACATTGAAGTGAAGGCGGAGACCTGTTTTTCAAGTTGAGGCAGGGTACCCCAAACTGTATACTATCGCCCTATGATGGGTACTGTAGGCGTTTAGTCCACGAGCCCCTAAAAAGACGACCCGGAACAAAGGTGCAAGATGCTTCTCCGGTCTCCCCGGCTGGGTTGCTGTCAAATCTGGTCGACGCCTGAGAGTCCACAGGCATCATTTCTTCGGGGGTCCCGATGACAAGTCCCAGTGAGAAGAATCCTAATCTGCTGAGGGTGTACAAACGGACCTCGCGTTGAGAAATATCCGAGAAATCTCAAGTCAGCAAAATAAACTATCTCAGCTACCAGAACCGCAGGCTCGTCGCAGCAGGATCTGCGCAAGCAGGGTATGACAGGCTACAAAACACCTGCGCATTTGTGAGCCCCAGTCTCTCCGAGCGGGCACGGGCAGCATGACGACGGCAGGCAGCAGTTGCATATGCCAAGATGCTCGGAATCATCAAGTCCACTCGGTGAGTCCGCCCATCAAATCAGGACCTAGCGGTGCCCGCCCAGTGGAGCAGGTTTGGATGTGCAGTTTTGGGGCAGCCCAGGTGCACGCTGACGAGTAGCATGCCCGCAAGGGCAGAGTCCACTGATGGGCCTAATACTTGGAAGGTTTCACTTAGATCAATTTTGAAAGGCTGTGTCATGCGCAGCCTATGGCTCGAAGATTCCCAGAACGCATAGCCAATGATTTTGGGCATTCACGCCACTCTCAAGCAGAGGAGGTGCAAATTTCCATTTCGACAGCTGATGATCAAGTGCTATCTTGTTTTAATCCTCGCAACAAAACGAGGCGAGTCCTGCACAATGGGCACTTGCATGTTTTTCGTGGCGCTGTCGGGTGTGGAGGGTTGTGCAACGTGGTGTCTGCCACGAAATGCCCGCTTGTCTGGAAGCAACAAGCATGCAAAGAGACGTTAAAGAGTTCATGCGTGCTTGCCCGTTTGGTCATGTTTATTGCTGATTCCCATTCCAGGGCTGGCTCATGCCTGAGTTATATGAACATATATATATATATACATATATGTATACACATCGGACCACCAGGCCTGCATAGCGTCCCTGGCGTGATTGCCTTGCAGCAGTACTCAGCGTGACTTGGTACGGTGGTTGCTTTTGCCCAAGACATGAAGTTCATGTCCGGAACGATGTTCAGGCGGTCTTTGCCAAATGATCTTGGGGTCTCATGCTTCAAAAGGCTTCAAAGGCCTTCATGTGGTGGCGAAATTCTGCTTTCAAAGGCTCATGACTGAAACTTCAAGACAGAATATACCTGCAGTCTCTCTGAGACAGCGGCCCAGAAACATATCACAACTCCACTATGACGGAAGGGCACATCTCAAACAGCTCAAGGTGCTTACAATCCTGATGCAGACCCATGATACATAAATCCCCTCCCTCTAGAGGGATAGCAAGAGGGATCCTAACCTTAAGGCCCGTAAAAGAACAACCACTTCCTTAGTTCAGTTGCCATATTGACATGGCTGATGAGTTGGGAGATGCCGCCCGATCCGGGAATGTCCAGAAGGTCAAAGCACTTCTGAAGAAATGACGGGGCACCCAGCTTCAGTTGCAAAATTGCTGGGGGGTAAGGTTTATCAGGATTATTTGGTGGGGTTCTACTCATATAAGGGTTATATGGGGATTTAGATGCGTACTAGGGGCTACTGGAGAATAAGAGAATACAGTCCTTAAATACATTTGTATAACCCCTGTACAATATATTCCCTTATTCCCTACCTGGCGGGTACTGTAGCGATTTGCATGCATGCTTTAGCTAGGTAAAGTCTCTACCAGTTTTCTTCATTGTCGCCCAGCAGGCTTTGACTTCGAAGCGCCCAAGGCTGGCACTGAGAAGTTTGGCGTGTCTAAGTCAACACATGATAGTAGAATGGGGTAATATAGGGATAATGGAAAATAAAATGGAAACTACTATAGTATATTGGGGGTAATATAGGAATGTCGGGGAAGAGATAGGCCATACACTTCGCGAGCCATGCAAGTGGAGCTTGTTCGCGTAGGCATGTATTTATTCAACATGTTTGGCCCAGCCCTGGTCAGGTTCAGAATGCCTGCGTCGGGGCCGCGCTTGCAAAGGAGGCTGGCAGCATCTTGATATTTGTAGCTACTTGCGGATCTTCTTGCACGGGATTCCGCAAAGAAGACCTGCCCAGGGAATTCCTCAAAAATGGAATATCACAGTTTGTCCCCCCAAAAAAATCGCCTTCGTTCAGCGCCGAACTTTTTTCAGAAGCTCCTACATTGTGTCTTGAGCTGGGTCATCGCGAAGAAAACATTTCAGAAGCTACATCCGTGCTAAAAGTATGGTTTTCCTTTCTGGGAGCTAGAGGGTTTACGGGGGTCACGGGAATAGAAGGGTTGGAAGCTTCTCAAATCCCATAAAGGAAGCTGCTACGCCAGGGTAGCAGCAATTCAGTTTTTGCACGCCGAACTCAAGTCCGACGATTTTTCCAAGTTCGCGTGAAGTACACTTGCTGCCAGCTAGGACCTGCATGCCCCATAGTAGTACTCGCAGTAGCAGTAATAGTTACGGGAATGATAATAGCAAATGTGCAATCGCAATAGCAACAATAACAGTAGTAACAAGCAATACTGCGGCTGGCGAAGTTCGTTGCACTGCAACATCTTCAGCTGTACAGTATATGGGCCAACCCCCCTTCTCCGTTAGACTCCTCCATCAGCAGAAGGCCTAAAGCCCTGCGTCCTGGAACAGCTCAAGTAGTACAAATTCATTCCTGGGTGATAGTTCCTCCACTAACCAGGCCAGTGACAGTGAGTATTAGTCCTCCAGGTCCTCACATATGTAGCAACATGTAGATGCGACAAAACGTTTCTTTTCCGTGATGTATTTTCCGCACCCCTGTCATAGTTATCATCATCACACCACAGCCCAACTCCACTTCCCCAGGCCACTTAACCCTCAGTTCCAGCTTCACTCAGGCTGAGTGCGTGGCAGCATTCCTCGAAGCTGGCGCTCCGCTAACTTGTTCGGCTCTCAGCCAGCGGTGCTTCTCAAAACGGTCCCACATTTTGTAGGGTTTTCAGGGTTCAGGGTACATTTCTATAGAGAGGAGTGTATAAGGTTTAGTGTGTGATCCGCTAGAATCCGCATATAGACGCAAGTACTCGTGGTTCCGTAAATGCACCCCCAGCTTGGAGAAATCCTTAGCGGGGCAACTCAGAACACAGACCCAGGCATATGGCTAAAGTGTGGAGTCCCTTTATGGGGTCCCAAAGTGCCAAAAGGAGACACTAATTGTGAGGAATACCCATAATGTAGGCCTAGGAACAACTTAGGCTCCCCCCATACTAATCCAAATTGGTACGGATACCAGAACGGACCCACTGATTATTATCATAGTTAGCAGATGTCACCAGTGTTATATGTTATTACTACTGTTATTACTATACGTAGTTTTATTACATACGATTATTACTACTATTAGTACTAGTCTTCTTGAGAAAATTCATCTTAGCAACTAGTCGCAGGGAGAGAAGGCAAAGTCTATATTCCACAGCCTCAACCTGATGACCATCAACTCCACGCTATTCTTTCTACGAATAGTACGGTGGATACCAGAAATCCTGCACGGCGCTCAGTACCTTATGACTTTGAAACTGTGGTACTCTTGTATACTAAGGTCATGCAAGATTTTTCGTATGAACCGTAGTAGTAATGAAATTACTAGTACTACTACTAGTAGTAATAATCAAAGTAGCAAGACTAATAGTACTAGGATAACTATACTTGAAAATGGTAATGTTATGAACAGTAATAATGATAATGAGCATGATTTCCAGGCTCGGATAAAGAGGGGCGCCGGCTCCTCCCTGCCTGCTGCCGCCCCTGGGCGCTACTTCAGGGTTTTGATGTGGCAGTAAGAATGGTAGCAAGAGTTAATAGTACGTATGGTAATAGTAGTGATAGTAGAAACAGGAGTAATAAGAGCCATAGTAGCACTTTTAAGATGTTTAGAAGAATTCTTCTAGATGGTCTTTGAGACAGGTGTCAATACGTATAGATGTAGATGCATATACGTAGATATAGATATATGCATCTACGACGTACATATCTTTATGTAAACATATACTTCGCTTTCCTAAAAAGGCATTGCTATTGCGGAGAAAGCCTGTTTCTCAAGGGTCTTTCAATGCCAAGGTTGTCACAGGGATTCTTGCATTGCCCGTGTGGTGCGCCCAGACCCACATGGTAGTTTCCTAAAATTAGGGTACCCTTATATGACCCCCAATATACTATAATCCGTATGACCCAAAAAGTGCCCGCATGGCGTGCACTTTTTGCAACATAATTCGCGCTCGCGCCAGCAATTTTACAAGCCACCGCAAGAGCAGGGCAGGCGGGTCTTGCTTAAGATTGAAAATCTCCTTTGTAGACCCAAATCAACAAACTGGCCCTTGAGGGAATTCATCATCGGCAGCAGGTGCACACAACGCAACACAGCTGTAGTTGCCGGCTCTGACGAGGTTTGAAAGTTACCTTACCGCAAAATCACGCGTGTCCCCTACAAGCATCCCAAAACCATGGATCCGCCGCATATGCACAGCCCGAAAGGAAGTCCGACCTCATCCTACGCGAAAGTCCTGACACGCGAAAGGCTTGCAATTCATTCCAGTTTGAGACGAAGGCTTCTACTCTTGCGGAGATTTTCACTGAGTTGCAAATGCGAGTCTTAATCAGGCGATCCCCAACAAGGACCCTCAGGATGCCCTTACCCCCTAGCGACCCAGGAAGCAACTTGGCAGAGTCCATTGCACTGCTGGTCTCCTTGCGTGCAGACGTGTCCAAGCCTGATGGTACCTTGGCAGAATCAGGCGAAGACGCAGTAATCAATGTCTAGAGCAGGTGCCCAATTCAGACAATCACAGGATCTTTGTTGCTTCCGCGCGCCTCTAAAAATTAAACAGATAAGTGCTGCCATGGGTTTCACTAAGCCCTTGCAACCAAGATCTCGGCTGCCAAGGGGATGGATCGCTACCAATGTCCCTGGCGATCCAGAACAAATCAATGAGCTGCGTGAAGGCTTCGCTCCCGATACAGCTTCTGACAGATTGGAAGATCTGATAATATGATCCCAAAGGAGCCTTTGAATGGGACCCCTAGAGACCCCTTAAACTCCCCTGAAGATACCCCCTATTTCGAGAGATTTTGCGTCAAACAATGCCTTTCCCAGCAGGAGCTTCTACGTGGGGGCGCTCAGCCACCCGCCAACGCAGACATGCCGGGCTTGGCCAATCTCATGCTTGAGGCAGGCATCAACTGGACCTGGTTCCCATCTTCACATAGGCTGCCGGCACGGTCAAGAGGTGCAAGACTAGGGACTGCTATCATAGATTTGATAGCACTTCAACCACCGTTGCAACCAATGTGGCAGCGAAGATAAGAGTAATGATGGCACCTGCAAGCGATTGGCAAGGTGCAATTCGAGCAGTGCGAGCAGGAGATTCGGCCACTGGCAAACGAACAGGCTTCCATGCGCTGTGAAACCCATTGCTTGCCAGTTTTTCCCACAGAGAGTTTAGGGCTTGTAAAGAGCCAGGAGAGCCTAATTTCAGACTCTTCAGGCTTTGTTCTGATGATATTTGGGCGAGGTCTTTTTGAATCTTGAAGCAGGCCTGGGACCAGCAAGGCATCTTACACGCTCGGGAAGATAGTAATTTCCATGGTGGTCTGTTCTGAATAGCTTACTGTGGAGTAAGATTACATGCCCGTTTTTGTTAATAGTATAACCTATCAAAAGAACATGACCTTGCTTGGCCTAACCACTGCAAAGCGCTGTTCATGTGTGGAGCTGCGTGTGCATCCAAGCTCTGGTATCGCAAAGAATGGCCAAACTTGCTTACTCGTGCACTTATTCTTGCTTGCCCCAAGCTTTGCGCTGACCTTGCTTCTAGGTTGATGCTCGAAAGGGTTTGCGGTACAGTGTGTGCAATCCTGCATGTTTTTTTGCACAGGCATGATGCCAGAGTCAAACTCTAAATCCTAGAATCTCAACCCCTACTTGCCTACTGCCAAGGCTGCCAAGCACACTACTTATCAGGAGACTACAGATTTATGATGACAAGCTGACAGAATCCTTTACAAGCCACAAGCTTATCCTCCCCTAAAGAAAGCCTTATTGCATTTCACTTTGCGTAACCTTCCAGCAAGTCTAGCAATAGTTGCGACACACTATCTCAAACCTTTGCTCTTTTCAAAGCTGCAGTCCAACATCATTACGTAATGCACGCTGCACGCTGCCTCCAATTCTCTTAGCCAGCACCATCCCAAAATCGATCCCGACATTCCTCATGGAAGGAAACTCCTCCTCCATCCCCTTACATAATACAACCAAAGCCCGGTTAAGACCCTAACATACACTGCCTACATCCTACCACCTAAATCCTATGCCTAACTCCTACATCCAAAGCTTGTTGCAGGTAGACCCAGCGCAGCTCATTGAAGCTGAGCGGGTCGTCCTTGAGGGCATGGAGGATCGGAACTGAGGGCTGCCAGGGCTTCAGGGGATGTAGGCTTGTCAGGCGTTCAGGCTATTTCGGCTTAAGGACTTGGAGTTCTCTAGGTGCAGACTTACGGGTTCAAGGCGTTCAAATTGGGCTAGAAGGTCGTGAGGGGTGACCTGCGAGAGCCTGCATGAGCCTGAAGGCTTTTGTTTCATTGGCTCAGGACGTTGCTGCTTAGGGTTTCATAGCAGGGTCACAGGTGTGGGTTTGCATAAAAAGGACGTCATACGCTACATGCGAAAGAGCCTTTGGTCAGTTATGAAAGGCCTTCATGCATCTTCGAGGATGGTGATGGCCTAGTATGGCGCATGAGCACAAAGCCCTCCCCCAAAGTAACATGGAACCCCGAAAAGGCATACGTCTTAAGGGACGGTAGCATTTATCGGGCCTTTCGGGTTCCATGTTATGTTGGCGGAGGGTAGCTGCAATGCTGCAAGCCCATGATCTACAAGCATAGCCCATTTCCCCCCATGAAGTTGTTGACAAGGGCCTTGGACATGCTGCGCCAGGACCACAAGCGATTGATCAAGCGTCACGAGGCCAATCCGCGTTTCCTTTGTGTTTGGCTGCCCTGGTTCTTCAGACTAGAGATGACTAGAAGAGAGGATGTGAGTAAATTCCTAATCAGAAATTCATGAGATCGGAGCCGGCTTGTAGCGCCCAAGTCAAGAACCGCTGCAAGCATGGGGAAAACCCAGGAGTTTGATCTTAAGGTGCCTGCTCTGCCAAATTGCCCTTGGGCTGCAAGCGAAATGTCACTGTTAGGCTACTATTTTCAAGCACTCCTAATACCATTTTGTCTACTACCAACCTTTTCATAGTGTGTGTATATATGTATGCATATGATGTGACTACAAGGTATATGTCAGGTAGTGTGGGATCCTATAGCAGTTTCCATTTTAGGCTCCTTTATCTCAACATAACCCAAATCTAACCCCAATATTACCCCAATGGGTACCTAGATCCCCTANNAGCCCTAAGCCCTGTTCAGGACACGCGGGCTGCAAAGAGCCTCGCCGAGCTCGAGAGGCAGATTGCAGAGGCTCAGGCGAAGCTGGATGCTACCAAGCTATCCTCTGCCTGGGGCCCAACTGGGTTGCTGTTAAGGAA